TTCTCTATAGTTCATAGTGTACTTTTTCTTGTTTTCATCATAGTAGAGCATTAATAAAGCTATAGTCCTCAAGACCTGATTGTTTCATTTTGATTTTATTTAAAAACTGTAAGCCACGTCACCACTCGGCTACACAAAGAAGCGTATTTCTCCGCCGCCTCCTGTGTGACGTCTGGTTGCAATGACAATGTATGAAAGTGAGTCAAAGTTTTTTTGTCCTCAACTGTTGTTCTCAATTGAAATGCAGATATATGATCATGCATCTTATTAATTAGTTGACCTTTACCTTGTAGACGAGTATTAAAGTCATTTAGGTGGCTAGTTATAGCGTCCGCAGAAATGCAAACTGGGATAGGCCTACTTAATGACTTGCTAGCAAAGAATGATTGTATTTCTTGCTGGAAATCAAACACTCTTTTCAACATTTTTACACGGGTCAATCATCTTACTTCTGCATAAAATTAAAATGTAATGACATTAGAATCTGAGTCCAAATACTCTAGAAATTCTTGGAACTGGCGGTGATTCAACTCTTTTGACATAATGAAGATCGCTATTTTGTCGACCACTTTCATGACATGGTCCATAACATAAATTCTGCTGATGAATAATGCAGTGAAAATGTAGCATTTAAGCATTGCCAACTTTGGAGGCCTAATTTTCAATTAATTTGACTAAACCTTCGTGTTTCCCAACCATACTGGAGCACCATCCGTTGTTATGCCTGATAAATCGTAACAAAAAGCGATTCAATGTCTGTGTAACTGCCTCTAACAAATCTTGTGACTTAGTAGTATCCTTAAGTGTATACAGTGCCGCTAATTATTCTTTTTTTTATTTTAAAAATGGACATCAACACCCCTGATGGACATTGCCAGTTGGGCAGTATCTGCCATATATGTGCTTTCATCTAATGCTAGAGCATCTGTACTAATAAAAGGCAAAGCTCTCACTGACTCACTTATCACTAATTCTCCAACTTCCCCTGTAGATAGATGCCTGAAATTTGGCAGGCTTATTCCTTACAGCTTACTTATAAAAGTCAAGCAGGTTTCATAAAATATAAACTCGGATGTTCGACTTGTCCCATTATCTTCAATATATTTTCCAATGTCGTCCACACGCCTAGTAATTGTCTGACGAGACAGACTTATCTTTGAGAAATCCTTCTTTTCTGAACATAGAATTTCAACGACTCCCTCCAAACATTCCTTAACCATTTCACCATCTGAACATGGCTTCGATTTTTGTTTTTGTTTTTTTTTGTTGCTAGTATCGTGACTACTGCTTGCAAGATATTTCAAATTTCTCTTAGCTATAATCTAAAAATATTTGACACGAACGACTCATGATGTAATGTTAATTTTGTTGATATGTACAATAAAGTAACATTTATGTTCATTTGACCTAGCTCCGCGGGCCGCAACATGACTCCCGGCGGGCCGCGTTTGGCCACCCCTGATATAAAGTCTTGGTCCGGCAACTTTTAGATTACGCATGTTCAGTCTGGGACCCATTCACCCAGAAGAGCATCGACAGGTTGGACGCGGTCCAACGACGGGAAGCACGCTTTGGCCTGAACCGCTACAAGAACACCTCTAGTGTTGGCAGCATGCTGGAAACATTGGACTGGTCATCATTGGAGGAAAGAAGACGATCATACAGGTTCTCCATGGTGTACAAGATAAATAATGGGCTGGTCCAGTGCTTCAGCATTAAACATCGGTGAACGCTCCTTCTGCTTCCATGGGCCCACGTTCTGGAACCAGCTCCCCTTCCATATACGTCATAGTGAAACCTCGTCCAGTTTCAAAAAGTCCCTTAAAACTCATCTGTTTAGGTCCGCATATGACCTGTGATGCACCCTCGTTGCCCTACCTAATGTTCTGTTTCGGTTTAATCCTGAAGTGTCAAAGTGTCCTCTTTTTATAGCCATTTTCATTGTTTCTATAGAATAGTAGTTACTATCCTAGTGTCTCATTTGTATTTACTTAGTTTACATGTTTTAATAATTGTAAAGCGCTTAGAGCTTTATGATAAGCGCTATATAAAAAT